GACCTACAGTTAAATAATATTCAGCAAGCTGACAATCATGAGCTAGGCATCCTGCTGATCATCCCTCCTGCAGTTAGGGGGGAAAAAAAAAAAGAGAGGGGGTAAAAGGCTGGGTAAAGCGATAAGGGGGATAGTGAGGGGCCGAGGGGGGAACTAGGGGGGTAACTAGGCAGTTGCGGAGGGTTACTAAGGGCAGTAACTAAAGTGGGTTGAGGGGGTAAACTAGGGGGTAGCGGGGGTAGGGCATGGAGCGTGATTAAGGGAATAAAGGGGAAAGTAAGGCGTCTGAAGGTGGTAACTAGGGGGTAAGGAAGGTGCCATACTGCCACTGCGGCCTGCTCTGAACCCAACGGAAAACAATCATGCAAAACTAAAGAGGTATTATTATAATGTACTATGATGCAATAAAACTGACACACTTAGCTACTGACTTCAGCAATCTCAGTCACAGCAATTAATTTAAGAGTCCACTTACCTGTTCTTGTACACATCTGGATAAATAGTGTAATCCTCTTTCCCTTCTCATTTGCCGCCTCCACTACTCATTCCTGAGGACAGACCATTGGATGCGGCAGTACCGAAGGTTGTAGCTGGTCACATTTCTCGTAGTTTCACATTTCACACCGCTCACATTTCTGTAGCTGGTCACACAACAGTACAGAAGTTGGGAGGAAAAAAAAAGAGAAAAAAAATTAATCAGACCATTTTTTCAAGGACATTATAGCTGTTATTAGTCCTAGAATTGAAACCTGCTAACCAGAAAAAAATAAGCTGTCTCACAAGTTGCTAAATGCTGGTACAATACTTGATGTTCTAAATCGGAAAATCTTATTAACAGCAGCAATGAAAAGGACATACATAAGCGCAACCGTTCATACGGGAACAACGACTAAGCCAGAAGACCTGAAATAGAAGAGCTGATTTAGATTGCTATTTTCCAACGCTTCCTTTAAACAGGACTGGTTCTCTGATTCTGCGATGAACATGCATCTTTGCAAGGATATAAAAGAACAACTCACGAAAATATAGAAAGAGTGCTCATATGCATACACACACGGGCCACGCTGCCAACAGCTATGATAGAACAGAGAGGCCGTAGACTTGTGTGGCAAGGTAATACAGCATAAGCTTCAGAAGCAGCTCTGGCTTTCATGTGGCCATCAGCAGCAACAGCAGAGGTGTTTGGGTGTGCCAACATTCCAGTCTTTTCAGACATGAATAGAGATCCCTTTTGTAAGGCACACAAAGGCATTTTTCTGTTACTTAGAAAAGCCTAGACCAAAACCAGAAAGATTTCCTCATCTCAGTGGAAACAGGGAAAAAAATATCCCAAACCAGAAGTGAAATAGGGAATAGCACTAATAAAAGCACTATGGCAAGAAAATGAAGTCTGCCTGGAAAAACTGTGACATCAAAGCTTATCTTGCAGCCAATCAGGAAGTACAAAAGTGCATTAGATCACACTGGAAGACACCAGCTCAAACTTCCAGAAGACTGAGGAGGAGAACTGGTCTAAACTTGTCAAATACTTGACAACAGCCTGCTTAGCACTCTGACTGCATAGAGGAAGACAGATCCCTAAGGCATATGCTCAGACTTTTCTCTAATCCAAACTGTCAATCAATTAGAACACTGAAAAAAAGTCTTGCATCAGAATAGGTCTTTATTCGGACAAGTATCGTTTGCCCATAATAGCCCATATTCCTCTTTCTGTTAACACCTGTCAGCTTCAAGGGGGCAAAGACAGTTGTCAGCCTTCAAGCAAGTCTGATCTACAATTGGACTCAGGCTTAAAAAAAATAAATAATATATATATAGATGTATACACTCACACACACATATATAGCATTGGTGGGCCAGAGATTTACTGAATATTCCAACTCAGCTGTCCAAAGGGACTCTTGCCAGCAGATCATTGTGGTGCTCCTGCTCCAGAACATGGCACCCAACAGAGACCAGCACCACAAAAAACACTACCACCACTACCTACTCTACAAACAAAAGGTAGGGCACTGCAATGGACTGTGTCAACAAAATCAAAAGCAGTATGAGTTTTCTGGATCTCCTTCCTACATGGAGAAGTAGAAAGGAGTGCTAACAAGATAATTCAGAACAGCTTGAAAAAAACATAATTAAAACCCAGCAGCTGTTTGCACCTGTACCAGAACCTTAAAGCCAGTCGCTTCCACCCCTAAAAAGGCGGTGGTTGTGAAGTCGAACTTTTAGATGCCAAGACAAAAACGTTGAGTTCTTTCTGCAAGCCAAAGAATGCCCACGGTCACATAAGAATTGCTTGGCAGATGAGCAGAGTCAGCAAAATTCCCTGCTACTGTTCTTGGAAAAGAGCAACCCCCTAAAAAGGTAGGGTGCAAAATGTCCTAACTCAAGCGTTATTACCCCAAACACCATTTGCCCAGAAGGGAAAGCCATCAATATTATCTGGAGGATAACTCATCCTAACCCTAACCAACTAACTCATTAATTAACATCCTAAACCAAGAAAGCAGTATAACACAAAGCAGTCTCCTCAAGAAGAAGTTCAGTTAATTCTTCTGGATTTAGTTTTTTTATTTTAGAGACGAGTTAGCATTTGGCCTCAAATGATTCTAAACAACACAGGGTCTTCATGTGAACTCAGAGCAAACAATTAACTTCATCATGAAAGGAGCATTAAAAATAAATAAATACTAATAAATCTTCTTCCAGGTCTTTGCTTAAAAAATAAAGAAAAAAAAACCTGTGACTCACTTCGCCTACTTTACCTTCTAAAGAATACTTCAGAAAGAATCATTCCATGAGGACAGAGCTTTCAAACTCCCAGCAATTAACTAGCTAAAACTAATAGCTTTTCCCCTAGGGAACATTAAGAGGGACAAATTGTTTTGTTATAAATAAACTGACATACAAACTATGAAATAGCTGTCACAGCAAAATTTGTAACACTAAAGATTTAGTTAAACTACAAAACGATCCCTATTTCCTAGAGAAGGAAAAAATTAGGCCTCCAAAAGCACAGAGCCTTTCCGTGGATACAGCATTATAGCCTGCCTTGTTTCCCATCTTCACATCCTACTCAGAAGATAAACTTGGCATAAAAAGTGGTGTATCAGTCATGTATCAGTCATTTTATTATTGTTCATCTTCATTCTTTTCATAAAAGCAACAATTTTCTCAAAGTTACACTGGTCTTCAAACACAATCTGGACTTCGCTGTTCCCTCAAAATACAAAGTTTTCCTTGCATTTCCCATTCCTTTTACTGACAACTGTCACCACCTTTCCAAAAAGGCAAGCATGCAGACTGTACTGAAAAGGAGATTTCTTTCTTCCTTCAAGTAAGTTTTAAATGAATAAATGTCATACCTTCCACATTGTTCTGCTTGCTGTTTCACAGGCGAAGTCTTCTCTCTCATCCACTGCAAGTTAAATTTATTTCAAGATTTAGCTGAATAGATACAGAATACACAAAGTACCCAAAACCACTTATGTGTTGGTTTTTTAAAATTTATTTATTTTTAATTTTATAGCACTGAATACGCCTCACCTACTTAACCTTGTTCCCTAATTCAGCATTGTGGATGCAGTTCAGTTAAACTTTGGGGCTAAAGTGAGCATCACTGCTTCACTCAGCACTGAGGACAAACTGATAGAACACTAAATCAAATTTGTCAAATTCTCTACCAAAGAAAGTAATTATTTTAAACAACATGACAAAAATTGTGTACATGTGGGGCCGAGTTTACCAGCCCCGTAAAAGGGACATACTTTTCTGTTTTCTATCATTTATTATCAACAAGCAAGCAAAAAAAAAAAAAAAAAAAAAGTAAATTAGATATCCCAGGAACTTCAAAGCTGTTAACTACACTGTCTAGTGCCCAGGCACCTTCAGAGCTTAGCGATAAGAGACGGAGGGTTTGGTGGGCTGTAATTCTGATCACAAGCACACAAAACAGATCTATTTCAGTACTTCTACAAACTGACTTATTGACAAAAGTTGTAGGGGGAAGGATGAGAAAAACAGCCGGTAGGGATCAGAATCAGAGGTATAACCTCATGTTAAAATCGCCTCCATCGCTTTCGTGTCTCCCCAACTGCGTCACAGAGAGACAATTCACATTAAAGCACAGAGCCTCCTGCAGAGCGGGCATCACATTGAAAACAAACTGAAATCAATTGACAAATGCTCTAAGCAAGCTATTTACCCAAAGTTCATCCTGTTATGTTACGGGCATTTGCACGGTTCATATGGCTACAAAGTTATCAGCTATAATAAATAATATTAATAAATATAATATTATAATAAATAACATAATAAACGCACACGTATAGCGTCTATCAGTTTGCCTATTTATCAAATCATTACAATTTTTTCCCCGATAAGTTGCTGTTAATTTGATCTGCGTTGGATGTGCAGCATCCGTTCTCTGTGCAGAATCCCCCAGATATCCCCAAGCACCTCTTTGCTCTGGCACACTGCTTCAATAAACCTACTGGAAAACACCCAGAGATAACAGGCAATAGCAAAGTTGGAAAACCATCTCCGCTGATTATTAATTCACCTGTAAGGTTTATCAGTTACCTACGCAGCGTCGGCACACGCGAGATACGACACTTTCAACATTAACGTGTTGCTGAAGCCCGAGGTTTCAATGTTTGCTCTGTAAGCGTGGGGAATGTTTTATTGCCCTTCCAGGCCAGCTTTAGATGGACTAGACTGATTGTCAATATACGGTGTAAGGGACTTGGCACTTCTGCGAGTGATAAAAACCTAACTGAGCAGCTATCCACGCATAGTGCTCCCTCGGCTTTGCATATGATACTCAGTTACGTTGCTGATTTCATAGCGGAGAGGTTTTGGCTGAACGAACACGTGCAGAGGGCGTCTGCAGAGCACCTCTCTGGGCGCCTGACATTTCTTCGCAATGAGCTGCTGGCAGGGATCTCAGCGTGTCCCCCCTCCAGCACGGGGATTTTCACACCCTGAATTTACAGAATTTGCATTCACCGTCAACCTACCGGACCCTCCCGCACGAAGGAGAAGTAAAGCCTGGCAGGTAACGTGCAGAGAATTTACGAGGGGGCGAGGCGGGGTGCAGGGAGTGGGGAAAGCCCTGGAGGTCCTGAGGGCAGTGGGCTGGGGATGAAAGGGAGGGTGAGGAGGGGGGTAAAAGGCTGGGTAAAGCGATAAGGGGGATAGTGAGGGGCCGAGGGGGTAACTAGGCAGTTGCGGGGGGTTGCTGGGGGGGGTAACTAAGGGCAGTAACTAAGTGGTTGAGGGGGTAACTAGGGGGGTACGGGGGTGGCTGGAGCGTGATTAAGGGAATAAAGGGGGAAAGTAAGGCGCTGAAGGGGTAAGTAAGTGGGTAAGGAGGTGCCTAGAGCCATTGAGCCTGCTCTGAAACCCCCAGGAAAACATCCTGCAAAACTAAAGAGGTATTATTATAATGTACTATGATGCAATAAAACTGACACACTTAGCTACTGACTTCAGCAATCTCAGTCACAGCAATTAATTTAAGAGTCACTTACCTGTTCTTGTACACATCTGGATAAATAGTGTAATCCTCTTTCCCTTCTCATTTCGCCGCCTCCACTACTCATTCCTGAGGACAGACCATTGGATGCGGCAGTACCGAAGTTGTAGCTGGTCACATTTCTCGTAGTTTCACATTTCACACCGCTCACACATACGGGAACAACGACTAAGCCAGAAGACCTGAAATAGAAGAGCTGATTTAGATTGCTATTTTCCAACGCTTCCTTTAAACAGGACTGGTTCTCTGATTCTGCGATGAACATGCATCTTTGCAAGGATATAAAAGAACAACTCACGAAAATATAGAAAGAGTGCTCATATGCATACACACACGGGCCACGCTGCCAACAGCTATGATAGAACAGAGAGGCCGTAGACTTGTGTGGCAAGGTAATACAGCATAAGCTTCAGAAGCAGCTCTGGCTTTCATGTGGCCATCAGCAGCAACAGCAGAGGTGTTTGGGTGTGCCAACATTCCAGTCTTTTCAGACATGAATAGAGATCCCTTTTGTAAGGCACACAAAGGCATTTTTCTGTTACTTAGAAAAGCCTAGACCAAAACCAGAAAGATTTCCTCATCTCAGTGGAAACAGGGAAAAAAATATCCCAAACCAGAAGTGAAATAGGGAATAGCACTAATAAAAGCACTATGGCAAGAAAATGAAGTCTGCCTGGAAAAACTGTGACATCAAAGCTTATCTTGCAGCCAATCAGGAAGTACAAAAGTGCATTAGATCACACTGGAAGACACCAGCTCAAACTTCCAGAAGACTGAGGAGGAGAACTGGTCTAAACTTGTCAAATACTTGACAACAGCCTGCTTAGCACTCTGACTGCATAGAGGAAGACAGATCCCTAAGGCATATGCTCAGACTTTTCTCTAATCCAAACTGTCAATCAATTAGAACACTGAAAAAAAGTCTTGCATCAGAATAGGTCTTTATTCGGACAAGTATCGTTTGCCCATAATAGCCCATATTCCTCTTTCTGTTAACACCTGTCAGCTTCAAGGGGGCAAAGACAGTTGTCAGCCTTCAAGCAAGTCTGATCTACAATTGGACTCAGGCTTAAAAAAAATAATAAATAATATATATATATAGATGTATACACTCACACACACATATATAGCATTGGTGGGCCAGAGATTTACTGAATATTCCAACTCAGCTGCCCAAAGGGACTCTTGCCAGCAGATCATTGTGGTGCTCCTGCTCCAGAACATGGCACCCAACAGAGACCAGCACCACAAAAAACACTACCACCACTACCTACTCTACAAACAAAAGGTAGGGCACTGCAATGGACTGTGTCAACAAAATCAAAAGCAGTATGAGTTTTCTGGATCTCCTTCCTACATGGAGAAGTAGAAAGGAGTGCTAACAAAGATAATTCAGAACAGCTTGAAAAAAACATAATTAAAACCCAGCAGCTGTTTGCACCTGTACCAGAACCTTAAAGCCAGTCGCTTCCACCCCTAAAAAGGCGGTGGTTGTGAAGTCGAACTTTTAGATGCCAAGACAAAAACGTTGAGTTCTTTCTGCAAGCCAAAGAATGCCCACGGTCACATAAGAATTGCTTGGCAGATGAGCAGAGTCAGCAAAATTCCCTGCTACTGTTCTTGGAAAAGAGCAACCCCCTAAAAAGGTAGGGTGCAAAATGTCCTAACTCAAGCGTTATTACCCCAACACCATTTGCCCAGAAGGGAAAGCCATCAATATTATCTGGAGGATAACTCATCCTAACCCTAACCAACTAACTCATTAATTAACATCCTAAACCAAGAAAGCAGTATAACACAAAGCAGTCTCCTCAAGAAGAAGTTCAGTTAATTCTTCTGGATTTAGTTTTTTTATTTTAGAGACGAGTTAGCATTTGGCCTCAAATGATTCTAAACAACACAGGGTCTTCATGTGAACTCAGAGCAAACAATTAACTTCATCATGAAAGGAGCATTAAAAATAAATAAATACTAATAAATCTTCTTCCAGGTCTTTGCTTAAAAAATAAAGAAAAAAAACCTGTGACTCACTTCGCCTACTTTACCTTCTAAAGAATACTTCAGAAAGAATCATTCCATGAGGACAGAGCTTTCAAACTCCCAGCAATTAACTAGCTAAAACTAATAGCTTTTCCCCTAGGGAACATTAAGAGGGACAAATTGTTTTGTTATAAATAAACTGACATACAAACTATGAAATAGCTGTCACAGCAAAATTTGTAACACTAAAGATTTAGTTAAACTACAAAACGATCCCTATTTCCTAGAGAAGGAAAAAATTAGGCCTCCAAAAGCACAGAGCCTTTCCGTGGATACAGCATTATAGCCTGCCTTGTTTCCCATCTTCACATCCTACTCAGAAGATAAACTTGGCATAAAAAGTGGTGTATCAGTCATGTATCAGTCATTTTATTATTGTTCATCTTCATTCTTTTCATAAAAGCAACAATTTTCTCAAAGTTACACTGGTCTTCAAACACAATCTGGACTTCGCTGTTCCCTCAAAATACAAAGTTTTCCTTGCATTTCCCATTCCTTTTACTGACAACTGTCACCACCTTTCCAAAAAGGCAAGCATGCAGACTGTACTGAAAAGGAGATTTCTTTCTTCCTTCAAGTAAGTTTTAAATGAATAAATGTCATACCTTCCACATTGTTCTGCTTGCTGTTTCACAGGCGAAGTCTTCTCTCTCATCCACTGCAAGTTAAATTTATTTCAAGATTTAGCTGAATAGATACAGAATACACAAAGTACCCAAAACCACTTATGTGTTGGTTTTTTAAAATTTATTTATTTTTAATTTTATAGCACTGAATACGCCTCACCTACTTAACCTTGTTCCCTAATTCAGCATTGTGGATGCAGTTCAGTTAAACTTTGGGGCTAAAGTGAGCATCACTGCTTCACTCAGCACTGAGGACAAACTGATAGAACACTAAATCAAATTTGTCAAATTCTCTACCAAAGAAAGTAATTATTTTAAACAACATGACAAAAATTGTGTACATGTGGGGCCGAGTTTACCAGCCCCGTAAAAGGGACATACTTTTCTGTTTTCTATCATTTATTATCAACAAGCAAGCAAAAAAAAAAAAAAAAAAAAAGTAAATTAGATATCCCAGGAACTTCAAAGCTGTTAACTACACTGTCTAGTGCCCAGGCACCTTCAGAGCTTAGCGATAAGAGACGGAGGGTTTGGTGGGCTGTAATTCTGATCACAAGCACACAAAACAGATCTATTTCAGTACTTCTACAAACTGACTTATTGACAAAAGTTGTAGGGGGAAGGATGAGAAAAACAGCCGGTAGGGATCAGAATCAGAGGTATAACCTCATGTTAAAATCGCCTCCATCGCTTTCGTGTCTCCCCAACTGCGTCACAGAGAGACAATTCACATTAAAGCACAGAGCCTCCTGCAGAGCGGGCATCACATTGAAAACAAACTGAAATCAATTGACAAATGCTCTAAGCAAGCTATTTACCCAAAGTTCATCCTGTTATGTTACGGGCATTTGCACGGTTCATATGGCTACAAAGTTATCAGCTATAATAAATAATATTAATAAATATAATATTATAATAAATAACATAATAAACGCACACGTATAGCGTCTATCAGTTTGCCTATTTATCAAATCATTACAATTTTTTCCCCGATAAGTTGCTGTTAATTTGATCTGCGTTGGATGTGCAGCATCCGTTCTCTGTGCAGAATCCCCCAGATATCCCCAAGCACCTCTTTGCTCTGGCACACTGCTTCAATAAACCTACTGGAAAACACCCAGAGATAACAGGCAATAGCAAAGTTGGAAAACCATCTCCGCTGATTATTAATTCACCTGTAAGGTTTATCAGTTACCTACGCAGCGTCGGCACACGCGAGATACGACACTTTCAACATTAACGTGTTGCTGAAGCCCGAGGTTTCAATGTTTGCTCTGTAAGCGTGGGGAATGTTTTATTGCCCTTCCAGGCCAGCTTTAGATGGACTAGACTGATTGTCAATATACGGTGTAAGGGACTTGGCACTTCTGCGAGTGATAAAAACCTAACTGAGCAGCTATCCACGCATAGTGCTCCCTCGGCTTTGCATATGATACTCAGTTACGTTGCTGATTTCATAGCGGAGAGGTTTTGGCTGAACGAACACGTGCAGAGGGCGTCTGCAGAGCACCTCTCTGGGCGCCTGACATTTCTTCGCAATGAGCTGCTGGCAGGGATCTCAGCGTGTCCCCCCTCCAGCACGGGGATTTTCACACCCTGAATTTACAGAATTTGCATTCACCGTCAACCTACCGGACCCTCCCGCACGAAGGAGAAGTAAAGCCTGGCAGGTAACGTGCAGAGAATTTACGAGGGGGCGAGGCGGGGTGCAGGGAGTGGGGAAAGCCCTGGAGGTCCTGAGGGCAGTGGGCTGGGGATGAAAGGGAGGGTGAGGAGGGGGGTAAAAGGCTGGGTAAAGCGATAAGGGGGATAGTGAGGGGCCGAGGGGGTAACTAGGGGGGTAACTAGGCAGTTGCGGGGGGTTGCTGGGGGGGGTAACTGAGGGCAGTAACTAAGTGGTTGAGGGGGTAACTAGGGGGGTACGGGGGTGGCTGGAGCGTGATTAAGGGAATAAAGGGGGAAAGTAAGGCGCTGAAGGGGTAACTAAGGGGGTAAGGAGGTGGCTAGGGGGTGATTAAGGGGATCTGTAAGGGGCCGAGGGGATAACTGAGGGGGTAACTAGGCAGTCGAGGGAGTAACTAAGGGGATAAGGAGGTGGGTAGGGGGTGATTAAGGGAATAAAGAGGAAGTTGAGGGGGTCAGGAAGGGGCTGAAGGCGTAACTAAGGGGGGTTAGTAAAGGGTTGGGGGGGTAACTGGGGGGGTAACTGGGGGGGTAACTGGACAGTTGAGGGGGTAATTAAGGGGATAAGGAGGTGGGTACAGGGCAATTAAAGGGATAAAGGGGCGGGTGAGGGGGTCAGGAAGGGGCTGAGCGATAAGTACACGGGCAACCGAGGCGCTGTGGGGCAGGGCCCGCTGCGTGGGGGCCGCTCCTCACCTGCCTAAACCGGGGGTAGGGGGCCCTCGCGGCGCCCCAACGGTGGCGCCGCCTCTTCATCTTGCTGCCAGCCGCAGCAACTTCTCCTCCTCCTCCTCCTCCTCCTCCTCCTCCTCCTCCTCCTCCTCCAAGCGCTCCGGCTCCGGCTCCGGCTCCGGCTCCGGCTCCGGCTCCCGCTCCGGCGCGGCCGCACCGCCACCGCCGCCGCCTCCGCCGCACCCGCCGCCGGCCGAGCCCTCCGCGGCCGTTCCGCCGCCGGCCGTTGGGCCGCCCGAGGCCATGCCGCCGCGCCCCTCGCTCTGTGCCGTCACACGCCCCCCGCCCGGTCCCGGTCCCGGTCCCGTCCCGTCCCTCGCCCTCCCCGCTCCGCCGCTCGCCTCACGCGGCCAATTGGGGCAGGCGATGGCGGCTCCCGTCAGCGCGGTGCGCGCCGCGCCTCACCCGCCCGCGACGGCCCCGGCCCCGGCCCCGGCCTCGCGAGAGGGGAGGGAGGGGAGGGAGGAGGAGGCGGGGCCGCGCGGGAAAGCGCGAAGTGAGGGGACGGGGACGGGGACGGGGACGGGGACGGGGAGGGGAGCGGGGCTGCCTCACCTCAGGGATGGCGGCCTCGGGGAGCGGCCGCCATAAGAAAAGCCGGCCCGGACAGCACGAGAACGGGGCTAAAAGACGGCCGCGGAGCCTCCCGCCCCGTGGTGCCGAAGGCTGGGGTGCAGCAGCACCGCGCCGGGGGTGGGACAGCGCCACAACCCCACAGTGCTCGTCAAAAAAGCCCCCCACCGATAACCAGTAACCCCCACACCGATAACCCGCAACCACACCAGTAACAAAAAAAGACCCACACCAGTAGCCCCCACACTGTTAACCCAAGCACACGCAGTGTTTGAGGCTGGGTTCGTGGCCGCCTTGGTCCAGGAAGCGATCGCCACGCTGAATTCTACCATGTGGCACGGGAAACATAGGCACTGTGACGGATTTTCACCACAGAAAATAAACGAAAGTGGTAACGGGGTACACATTGTGCCCTTAATAACACGCATCGGGCAGTGAAATCACTGATTTCCACACCAACGTGCTCAGGGAATCACTCTCAGCCCCCTCCTGCATTGGACATGGAACAGCTGGGCCAACAAAAAACACTTCCCTCCCTCACCTACACCAAACCTATTAAGGCAACCCTATTAAGATAACGTGATTTTTCTCCTCCAGATCAGTGTCAAAGGCAGCTACGCTATGTTTGCTCATAAGTTCAAATGCTGCTTTATTTATTTATTTTAATTCCATTTTTCTTATTTAGAAGGATTTCCATAGGGTGACGGGCCTTTAATGACACTCATGACTCAGAAATATTTGCCGATGCAGTCAAACGGTGTCTATTAACGTGAGTCACTCAAGTTAATTGGTATTAAAAATGAGCCAAAACGAAAGGCAAGTATATGCGTGTCCAGCAGAATGACAGCGATCATCACCATTTGATCAATCTTCCCTGTGAGTTCTATCTGCAAGTTACTTTGAGGTAGCGCTAGAAAGAAGCGGTTGGTCCAGAGCATCCCTGCAAAAAGAAACATTCGTGGCTTAAGTACCATTTACTCTTTTTGTATCCTTTTAAGTATTTTTTTAACCCGTTTCGGACTCCTGCCTTCTCCTGGCTCACTGATGACAGGATCAGTAGCCCCTCAGACCGCTGCCCTACTGCCTTTCTTACCAGACAAGGGGCAGGAAAACCCCCACTACTATTCTTGAAGAAAACAGCAGGTTTTTGAGCACTTTCTATTGCAGCTAGGTACAATGAAAAGAGCTTATGAAATCATTACGGGATATTCTTGTAGAAAACTTCATCACGCTTGGAAGAAAAAAACATCTCAGCTAAGAAAAACAGAAAACTTGAATTGAAGCATAGTGGTTTTAGAAGAGTCGCTTCAAAGACTTGTTTAATTAAAAAGAAGAAAGAAAGCAAGTTCCTACTGCAATCCCATCTTTGTCAAACTGATGGTGGGCACCAATACAATGTGTTGAGCTAATACAGGCTGGAAGTTGTAACTGCAGCTGTGAAGTTTACCCAGTAAAAAGACTCTACAAGGCATTCTAGCAGTTCTGATGCAAACACAAGTTCAGGAAGCAGTGATTCATGGTTAACACAGCAGAGCAGGAAGAAGTCTGGCATTCACTGTGCTCTTACAGTAAAGAACCTGCACTGCACACACCATCCCAATCCAGGTATGCACTCCTAACAGGAAAGGGAAATAGGCTAATAAATCTCAGGAGAGGGAAAAAGACGTCAGAGAACTACTTCGTAACAGCAGCACACAGACTGCAATCAACTTTCTCTTCCTCTCATCATTTTCATTTATGTAGACTACACGAGAATACACTCCCAACATTTTTCAGCTCTGGACAACAAACAGCCCAACCAACCTCATTCACTGAACTACAAAACTGGTATCTGCACTATCTAGTCCAGAACAGAAGGTGCACGTCTCTATGCTGTACATTAGAGACCTTAATAGGCAAAGTCTGCATAAAATGGGTGGCCACAGCCTGATTTTTTGATGTTTATAGACTTGGGTCATACACCACCACAGTGTCAGACTAGATGAAATCGTCTATCTATGTGGGCCCCTCATTACAAGTCACATGTTAGGGACCAGCCTCTCAAAGGCCAAAAAACAGCACTGATACTTCACATTGTTTCTGCTGGGCCAACACATCTGTAGCACTACCTTTTCAGTTGACAACACAACGAGTGTTTCCACAAAGTACTCGATGCAACCTAACTACTGTGTTTGGTGATGCAAAGCAAGCCATGTCAAAGCAGGCACACACCTGGAAGCTGCCTTGCTGCTCACATTGAAGAAAATAGATTAAAAAAAAAAATCGCACTACAATTGAAGTGGCATCAAACCTTGTAAGGCTCTGAAGCTTCAGCGCTGCCATCCAAATTCAAGGAGGCTGCATCTATTACCTTGAATCTGCCCCAGCTCAATCCCCTGAAACAATTCCAAATACACATACAAGCAACCCTTTTCCCACCCAGATTTTCTTTGCTTCATCTATTCCACCTCTAACTCCTGTCTTATTAATCTGCCCCTCTAAAGACTCACTGGCTCACACAAGGAAGCAACCCACCAAGCCCCTGATTCCCCGCCACATTGCTTCCATGCTTTGGGAAGATCTAACTGCAACGGCTCAAACTGTGATGCCACCTCACCCACCTCACCCCCTCCGCCTACGTGAGGTTCCTTGCCTTCTGTCTCTTCCTACATGTACACCGGCACTAGAACCACGAAGAACATGTTTCCTGTAACACTCCAAAAGCCTTTTCTGTTTCAGGATGTCGTCATTTCAATTCTGGACTGAAAACACTCCTAGCAAAAACCCAACAGCTAATAGCAAACAGAAGCTGTTTCTGCTGATCAGCTAGAAGTAACCTCTAAGTACTGAGGAGTCACAAAGGAGAATTTGTATTACATTCAAGAACAGCACCCAGCTTACGACTGCTACTTTCCCTAACTACACTAAGCCATAAGAATTTGATTCTTACCTGCCATCACAGTAATTATGGTTTATATTGCCCCCAAAACACACAGGGCAGTACCAAAGCTGTGTCGGCTAGGTTTAACAGCTTCCACCGCTATTAAGTACAGTAATTTCTGCTTCCTTTTTTTTCTTGGAAGAATATTCTTTTGTTTCCAGCCTCAGTTAATTATTATATACACTGTTAATTAGCAACTATTTCTCAATACTCATAGGGTTATGGAGTCCCTATGACTGGAAAATACTCTACACCCTTCGAGATGAGAACAGCATATAAAGGCAGCAACTTGCAAGACCGCCCTAGCTTCAAGCAAAGCTTTCCTCATTGCTCTCCTCTCCTTTGACTTGAATACTGTCATCCTTCTACCAAAGCTTTATAAACTTCATTACCATGAATGAAGGAAGACCAGAGAAATTAGAGAGTAGCAGAGGATATAACTTAAGGAGCTGTTACTAGGATTATTTTTTTTTATTGTTCCTGGTGTTATTTTTCCTTCTTTAAGCCAGCAAACTGTTTTCTCCAAGAGTTTTTTTGTTAGCTTAAGAATATGTATTATATTGCAGCAACTTCTTTGCTGTAAGTCAGCTGAGAAGTCTACCAGTAAGAAGGTCAAGGGAAAGCTGAATGCTGATGCAGAGTGCCAACAGACTTCATCCTCGTTCCATGGGATGTTTGTAGCTATGGCAGTTCAAGTCTACGCTTCCATATGCTTAAAATACCAGATTTAGAAGCCAATTTCAGCTGACCTAGCAGATATCAGCAGTACAGTTAGAGCCAGCAGCCTGCAGGAAGGAGCAGACAGGTGCTCCACAGCAAGGCCTGAAAGTGTCTCCCATACACACTTCCAATCTAAGCAAGCACATGAAGGGCTTGGCTTGTCACTTACCTAAGTGACCAGGAAAACAAGTGAAAACGAGATTTCGCTTGTGTCCTAACACCCATATAAAAATAAAGGCAGATGAAATACCCTTACTACCTTGTTAAGTTTCACAAGCCAGAAGAGAACGTGCTGCACACAGGTACCAGTAAAATCCCTTGCTGGCAGGTTTGCAGAAACAAATTTTTATTTACACAGGCAAGTCTATCTTTAGACCCCATTTAACTCTTTACATTTCTAGAATATTTACATGATTTCATGATGCTCCAAGAAGAGACTGATGAACAAAAAGATTACAGAAACTGTCAAAAGCATAGCAAAAAAAACCCAACCTATCATTGTGCTTTAAAACTTATGAGCTAGAATAACGTAGAAGAAATGTAGTTTTAGCACCTTGGTCATAACGGTCATGCTATATAAGACACTTAAATAGCAGAGGGGATTTCAGAAGTGACCGTATCCAGAGGTTGCCAGTGACAATTCATGAGTGAATCGTAGAGTTCTTCGCTTGTCTCCATAAACTGTCTGTTCATTTCATCAACATCCAAGTAGAGCTGTGGATCTGAAAATAAAAGCCTGGTAAGTACAAGTATCGGATCTGAGGCATGCACACAAAAAGCACTCATGTGAAATGGCTGATAAGATGTATTTTAAGCTATATGTAATAAGCTATTAGACCTACTTATTTTAGTGAGATATTTAGTCCTCTAAAATGTTAAACCTCACAACTCCAACTTTTGGGAATCCTACGGGCTAGGACTGCATTATCTTTATCTTGAAAGACGAATAAAGATGACGTTTAAGGATAAATCGGCCATGAGACCTTCCCAAGAGCCATTTAATTCACTTCTACTCTAATAGATGTTACACAAGATAGTTTCTCAACACTGACACAAAATGCCTCCACGTGAAAAACTCTGCAAACCTTCCAGGACACAATTACGTTTTGTACCAAATTTGTAAGAGCAAGCCGAATCCTCCTTTTGGAATCTGCAACATAAGCTTTTACCTCGGGGTGGAGAACAAAGCTTTTGCGTATTATTGAGTTTCTAATATAGAATCTGCTTAGTGGAATCAATACGAAGAATACAAGTCCTGTGTTAGATCATTTTCAAAGGGGAAGGAAGGCACAGTTACATGAAACTAGCTGCGAAGCACTGACAGCTTCCCATTTTCCTTGATGCACTCAGTGTATGCCGTATCAGCTTTAAAACCCCAACTGATTGCATGCAGATCAACCCCACAGAGGTTTGACCTTTGCATCAGCTGAATTTTCAAGATGTTCTTCATCCAGTAGAGGTTGGCTTGTACTGTTAAAAGGCACAAGTATGGCTACACTCAAGTTACAATGATAGAACCCTTGTTACCTTCAGTCATTAGGTCATCACTGATTTCAGTCATAACTGAAGATTCCTGAAAGACAGAAAAGGCTAAGTTTAATCATAACGCATTTCAGAAAGCATCAGATTCAAAGTGCTGCATTCTCAACCCATTCCTTCTTCCTACGACTACAGGGGTAGATGGCATTTCATATTTATTTTTAAAAGAAAGCCAATATTACAGTACAGGTCAGAAGGCACTTCTGGAGGTCACAACTGATAAACTGACCACAATAAGACCACTTACAGCAACTGTTTAATTTGCATTAAGCAAAGCAAATCAGAAGAACAGGAACAGAATTGTATACAGTTATGCTGTCAAAACCATTATTTGGTATACATGAACAAAAAATGGTGTATATATCACTAATTCTATGGATTTAATATTTAAGCTTAAATTAAACTTAAATACAAACTTAAACTTAAATACAAACACCTCTGAATGGAACCTGCTGTTTTAACCTTCACACTAAGCAGAAAGCATGTTTTCAGCTTTGGATTTTTTTTTTTTTTGCCAATTCACACAAATCTGCACCGCTTATTATCTGTGAAATAGCAATAAAAAATACTTCATAGCAAGTGTGCAGTATCTTTACCTCAAAAAGAGCTGGAGCCATTACAGCATCTCCTAAAGAGCAGTCTCCAACAGCCTGCATGCTGTCATAGGGAGCATAGGAGCTGTAGTTGTACTCAGCATAAGCATCGTAACTCCACTGCGAGTAGTAGTTCTGATAATCTTGGTAATAATCATTATAGTTGTATGACTGGTACCGCTGGAATTCTGCTTTCAGTCTGAAACAGGAGAAGTTGCATACAGTTAGAGAACAAACCCTAAACCCAGTTCTGAACTTAAAGAATTTGTCAGCTTACGTACTTCAAAGCTTAAAAGGAAGCTTTCCTAAAAGCTGTCACTTAGGTGACTACAAGTCACAGCACAAAACCCCATCTATACAGAAGCAAACATCCTCACCTTTGCCAATACCAGAAGTAATTGTTTTCATGGATTAACTCCAGAGCCTTGACATTGTTACCTGTATATAGCAAGTATTTTTAGTGTTGGCATAAGCAAGCTGCTGCTAAGTCTCTGTGCTTTGCTAAAGATTGATTCATTAAGACCAGAGACATTTATCCAGCACAGCTGCTTTAAAGATGCAGTCTTAACCCTTCTGTCTTTTGTTTGGTTAATTACTAGATCTTATTTCCAGAAAGAAGTGAATGGAGTCAGATTATCCATTTCAAAGAAGCATCTGACACTGCCTGACAGTTTGCCATGCCTACCTCCACCTGCTCAGTTCTTTGTTTGTTTAAAGTCCATGAAACATTCAACAGCTGCCAAGTATACCACTCAGGTGAAGTCAGTCTTGCTTAACTACATAATCACAATTGTCCAGTAGGAAGCCTTACCAGTGGGAGAATTACAAAATACAGCGGTTCTGAAGAAGAAAGGGCCAGCTAATTAGTTTTCACTACTTTCCCTTTCAAGATTTTCTCCAGGGCAGCTTCAGACTACGGACAAGAACCAAGACAAGTGCTATCTGTACTAAAACTGATGTACACTGCATAAAATACGTTCAGATAACCCAGCTGCATATTCAAAAAAAATCCACTGTTTAGTCTTCTCTTCACTGATTCTGTACAGGCAGGCCTTCTGTGTTTGCAGTGCCCAATTTATCTGACTTGAACTGGGGATGCAGAGAAGTGAGTTCTATGCTTTTTGTCAAGAATACAGGCTGAAGACATTCTGAAACAGCTTCCAAAACAAGCAAACAACTAATCCAGTGGCTGGATATTTCAATGCTAAGAGAGCATGGTACTCAGCCATTCAGAAACTTGTTACTGATGTGTCTTTTAATACCTATGCTTGTTTCAATACTGTAAAGCTACACAAGTTCTAATAAAGAGGTAATCCATTGTCTTGTTACTGTAGTAAACAAACAGAAGATACATCATCTTACATCTTCTGGTTCCAGCTGCACTCTTCCTACATACAGTTCTGTAGGGAAGGAAAATCTGAAAATACTGTTGACATTCATCTGGATAGCCAAAGCGAGAAAACATGTTTGGGGCTTATTCTTGTTTTCAAAATAAAAATATTAATTTAATAAAGAAATTTGGCAAAGAAATTTTGGACAGTGCTCTCTTGGAGAAGAGCATTTCTGTTCTAAAGCAGGAGGCAACATTTGCAGAATTATGCTAGCTAAACAGAAACAGAAGCGTTATTTTTTTACTGTTTAACAGAACACACGAGCTAACCTCATGAACATATTGGAATTGTTTATATGAAGTCCTCTTTTGTCAGTATCCTGAATCAGAGTTCATCAAATTTGGTATCGGTTCTTTAACTATTCAGAGACCTAAATTGCCCTAAAAAAAAAAATGATGGAACTGAGCCAGTAGAGTAAGAAACCCTCTCAGGAAGTGCTAAGCTTTAAACTCCCCGTTGCCCTAAGCTCATGAAAAGCAAAGAATAGTATTCTAAACCTGTTCTAGTAATAAACTCCTTTGGCCTTCTCCCTGCATTCCCAGATTTTCCCTCACTTCTTTCCTGTCAGCCCACTGGGAAACTAGTTCTGTGCTCTTCTCAAACTAGAGAGAAAGGTCTAAGAACAAGAACTCCCCAGCGTATAAAACCACTTGTTGTCCCTTCTAGTTCATATAGGCCCAAACCTGAAAATATTTACGAATGCATTCAGCTTTGCTACTGTTGAGAAAGAAGGCTGGTTACAATGGCAGCTAAGCCCAAGTGACACTGTCTGGCTAGACATAAGAGGTGGATTCCCCCAGCCATCCTGAAACAGGTTGATGAATCCAGGGAGTCAAAACATAGCACTTCTGCATTTTTGGTTTTGTAGACTGCATCCTGTGTACAGCCATTACAGCAAGGGCCACAGACTTTACAAAGGCAGAGCTACAAGAATCTGATTATTTAGAATAACTGTATCAATGCACAACTCATTGGTTACCTTTTAGAAATTCCTATGCTCAGCCGGATTCGTTTTCCCCCCAGACCTGGTGCATTCTGGCAGTCTTGCAGTGCCCTCATCTGATCACCTTGCTCACCAAATCTGACATAGGCATACCCTCTACAATTTTCAAAAGGGAGAAAACAAATTCTAGTATGCATAACAGTTACAAAACTAATGAATTCAATTTCTGTCTTCTACAAAAAAACAAGATAGCAGCTACTAGAGCTTCCATTACTTAAGCAACCTCTCCGGCATGTGCACATGCACAGAAAAGGCTTTCACCAAATTAAAAAACTTGGGCCAGAAGCAAAAAGCTTGTTCCTTGGTAGCATTAAGATGCAACTCGCTAAGAGCCAGCAAAACAATACATTTTAAGTGCTACCTGCGTAAGTAATCAGATTCCATATTTCTGCATATACAGCAGTTAATTAGTTAGCATTAACCCACTCCTACCACTGCATAACACTAGCATTCTTTTTTATCTGCTTTCTCAGAAGGTTCTTGAATTAGTCTGTTACAGGCAGCATTGTCTGAACAGCAAACTCGCTCATTCCTGCTTGACTCACTGCATGGCCAGCAGTTTCTGCTAGACTTTATTTACTACTAACATTAGGTTCCATCCCCCAACCCCCTAAAATTTGCCAGGGCTTATGTTTTTCCCCAAACAAAGTAGGAATTATTTTGTCTTCAGTATTGCAGATGACTAAGTAGACACACAGCAGCGCTGATTTCAGTGCACAGCTCTTCCTCCTCCCACAGCTTCTAGTTGTTTTTTTTTCCCCCCATGTAGATATGCATATGGGTAAGTTGAAGCTTATCACAGTAACTGCCTGAACTAACTGGAAAGCTCTTAAAAACACTCAAGGATCTGTGCTATTAAGAAAAGCAGTGCTAAAGAGTAATCTCACTCTTCGTGCCCCAGAAAAAAAGCACTGGAACAGCTCCGACGCAAGCTCTTACATATCGCTTATAAAAGCGAACACACTGATAACGTTACACATTTGCACTGGAATTACCTGGAATATCCCAGCAGGTCTGTTGCTATTTTGCAGTCAATACATGAGGGATACCTCTTTAGGAAATAGTCATAGAGCTGGAAATCATCCACTTCTGGGGTAAGCTCCCCAACAAATATTGAATAATCTGGTCTTTAAAAAGAGAGAGAGAGAGAGAACAATTTTAAGGTTCAAGACTAAGATAGCCGATTCCCATTATATTCACAGTTAGTTATCATCAGACAAAAAAAAAAAAAGACAAATCTTTAAGGAGTACTAAGTACAGAACTCTACTGAGTTGCGTAGAAAATTGCAATGCCACCACTCTAATCTAAAGTTTTCCATTACTCTGGGTCTATTCTACTGTTTCAGCAACAAGGACCCATTTTCTGACAACTTGCAACAGTTTGTTTTAAGAAGCATAGTTTATTGTCTGAACAAGAAAGCAGCATAAAAATACCAAGAAAAATGATCAACTTAAACCACAGCCACGATTCAAAGGAGCTATGACTAGTTTGCTACTGCTTCCCAGTGACCATGGGAGACAGCAACTACAAATAAACCATTATTTATAGACACATGTTGCCAATGCAACATTTAGCATCTATGCAACCACACCAGACATTCTGGAATTTGAAAAGTGAGTGATGGCATTCGCTACCAATTCAAACAGGTAAGGCAGAGTTTCTCATTTCAAAAGGTTTTTACCTGGCTGAACTACTACTACTAACAAACTCTATTCTTCCTGGTTTTATTTTGTTCTTTTTCTTTCGTTTTTTCTGTGGTGTTCTCCACCAGCTGTAGGCCTGGAGGCATTCTCGTTTTTTCCCAAGCAAGTCCTGTTGGGATAAAAAAACACCTCTATAGTATTTAGCCTCATTTACATTCCTCCCTCCCACTCCCCATCACCACAGGTGATTTCCCCATATTCACCTTGCCCTTGAAAGAAGCCTGGGGTCCCATTTCTCCCTCCGCCTCCCATGAGGGAAAGCAGCCTCTGGGGAAAACGCCTGGCAAAAATAACAGAGCCAAAGGATTGTATGAACAGCCATATTCCCCTGACTTGTCAAGCTGGCTAAAGGATTGACAGCTTCCTCTTGGAATTCGGAAAAAAGCAGTTAGCCCTTCGATGCTGGTCAATCCTATGCGCCAATTAGCTTAGGACTGGATTGTGCTCCATTTGAGCTCTCGGACTCTCAAAAAAAAAAAAAGTCTTCAGTAGCACAGTGAGTGATGAACAGGCAGGAAATCATCACTCCTGCTCAGAAGAAATCTCATCTGTCCCTGTCTCCCCTTTCCTAGGAATTCTTCTTCCTTATGTGAGATGCCTCTCCTCACTACCTAGCTGCCAGTCACTCTCTCAGGCCAGGAACGACGACAGGAGGCCCATTAATGGAACGCAAGGAGAAAGCAGACCAGGAACAGGCACTAACTTGGCTGAGGGGAAAACTCAAAACCCAGATGCAAGGCCAGGAACTAAGAGGCATAAAAAAAAAGTGCCTCCAAAAAAAAAAACAAAAACCAAAAAAAACACCCCAAAAGCCACAGTTAAAAAGGAAGTGTGATAACTACAGAAAAGAGGAGAGAAACAGCCATAACAACACAGGTTGCCTCCCTCATTTAGTATTCTGAAGAACAAGGATTTCCAAAAATATGATTGGCGTTTTTCAGTAGCTTTTACTTACGCAGGCTTTAGTGTTCTTCCTCTAGAACACCTCTACATAACTTACATAGAGAGTGTTACTCACAAGATCCTTCAGAAGAACTCATGCTCAAATAATCCAAACTGCAAAGCTTAACGTTTTGCCCCCAACCTGCTTCGGTTGTTATGATCAAGCATCCAGAGGACAACCACCAATTACCAAATTACCAGAGGAAATCACAGGACTAGAACACCCAACTCAGAGTGAGCCAGCCATTTCAGCTTTACATTTACTAGGAATTCTGAGTATGGTTCTGGGATCCATTTAGACACTACAAACCTGAATTTCTCACCACAGGATCTTACCTGGTTTGCCATGGTTGAAAGAATCTGTCTTCTGTCTTTCTCAAGGAATGCAGCTGCAAACGCTCAGTTTATTGCAGTCCGTCAGCTAGAAAAAATGTGAGGGAGGGGCAAGAATAATCTTAACTTTGAGGTCAGTTTCTTAGATGCTCACCCTGTCCAACGCTTTTAATATTATTAATTCACAACTTGGGAGTTTCATTTCTGATGTGTCTCAATTGTTTTAGCCATGACAAGAAGGATATATAGCCAAGGGGACTACGATTAGAAGTCTTCTTCATTTTCTTAAACTGTAGCAGTCCACAACGTTTTCGCGTTGTCCAAGACACTAAGAAATTGTGAGCTTTTAAGTGACCTACACCTTATCCTTATTTCTAAAAGAACATGCAATATTATAATTTAATAGTTCCATGTTCTGAAGTAATTAAAAGCGAGGCAACGAAGATATAAGCTTTCATGTTTTCTACAACTCCTCAAGTCCCCCCCCACACAATTAGAGACAAATTAGAAGTTGTATCTGCTTGTGGTACCATTTCCTTAGGTGCATCTTCTTGTCTTCCACCTCTTCCACATATGTATTTCACTCACCCCCAGTGAGTAAGCCACAAAGCAACTTAACCACTATTACTAAAATCCTATACTTTTCACTGAAGAGGTGTACATACTTCTTCACTGACTTATACCCTTTCTTTAAGCTCTTTCACGGTCATTCATCCGATACAAACCACCAAAGAAAGCATTTGCATTTACAGAATATTTTGTATTGCCTTGCACACAATTGTTCATTCACCACTGCTTTTTTTTTTCCCCTCCCACACATCCAATACTTCTCTTCTGTGTAGATACTTGACTGCTGAAATACTAATTCCCATTACCATGCAACAAATTATATAACATTGCATGAACTGGCCGGCCAAATCCACATGCACAAAATAATTAGAGTGTTTGTAATGCCTTAAAGGCTTGCTCACACAAGTGAACACTTCAGTTTTCAGAAGTAGTGTTCTGATTATGCTAATCCAACATAGGACAACCATATAAGAATATCCTGTGTAATGCTATGCAGGAATAACCATGCACTTTATCTCTATTCCCATTCTGTACCCAAAAAAATTGTCCAGAACAAGCCCTTAAATACAGGTATGTACCAGTAAAGGCTGGGGCCCCATGAGAATGTTACTTTAATTCCAACCATACTTTTATTAAAAAGGGACCTTGATGTGTTAAACACTGGAAATACCAGTATTTAAGAATTTTTGGCTTCACTACTGCATATTTTTTTTACTTTTTGCTAGAAAACTTACCGTTCTTACTTAGTGCGGATCCAACAGGAGACTCCGCACCCTACGAAGCACTTTTATTGCCAAAAGCTATCAGAAGGCATCTGACGCAACAGCTTCGTGATCACAGCTACCACGCAGCTTGAGGCCGAACTGCTTCCGTCCTCCTCCCCGTCCGATCCTGGTCGCTGCTCCTTCTCCCTGGAAGCCAAAAACATTTAGAAAGCGGTTGAGACAGCGGGTAGGCACGTAACGCTTCCCATACACACCTCTACCCGGGCTACGGCTGCAGCCAGCTTCAAGCACAGCGGGGCAACTCCCACCTCGACAACTCACGTCTTATTTTTTGCTGGCTTACACAACAAACCCGTCCCCGCGTTGGTGCTGCGGGCAGCGGGATGGCGGCGCCGGGCCGGGCCGGGCCGTGACGCATTTCCCCGGCCGCTGAGGCAGGCCGGCAGCAGGGCGCCCCGCCCGGCCCAGCTCCACCCGCGCTCCCCGCTGATTGTTGTGCTAACAGCCACAAAACACACCAAAACGATTAAATAAAATACAATACGATAAAATATAATAAAGCAGGGCTGCGGGAGGCGGCCTGCGGGGCTGGAGGCTGCCTTATTCCCCCCCTCCCCCACCCCCCCTCCCCCCGCACCGGGGGCCCGTCCCGGCGGTGCGGGGAGGCAGAAGCCGCCCCCACAGCCCCGCACCGGTCTCGTCGCCCCCTCCCCGCTCCCCTTCGCTCCCCTCCCCGCTACTAACGCCTCTCGCCCTCCGCGTCGCCACCGGGAGCGGCCCCGCAGCCCGCTTCCGCCCCGCCAGGACCTCCCTGCCGGGCTGCCCGGCGCCGAGCCTGCACCCGCCGCCTTCTTTCCCCTTTTTCTTCACTCCCCCGGCCGCCCCGCCTCGCCCCCGGCCGGCCACAAGCGCTGCCCGGCGGCCGCCATCTCCTCAGGGCAGGCGCCACCGGCCGCCAGCCGCGCGGGCAGCGGCGGGGACAGGCGGGCGGCGAGGGCGGCAGGGCCCCGAAATGGCGGCGGGGCCGGCGGTGGAGGTGGTGGCGGGCTGCTACGAGCAGGTGCTGCTCGGCTTCGCCGCGCTGCCCGCCGAGGTAACAGCGGCGAGGAGGAGAGGGAAGCAAGGGGAGAGGGAGACGAGGAGCGCGGCCGCCATTACCCGCCCCGCTACTCACCGTGCTCCGGCCGCCGCGATGGCTCCGGGGGGGGGGTTCTTAAATGGCCGCGGAGGCGGGGCGGGCGGTTGCCCGCGGCGGCTGGCTCGGCCCCCGGCTGGGGGAGCGGCCCCAGGGCGCTGCCGCCTCGGTGCCTGGCTGAGGGGTCCCCGGGGTTGTGGGGTGTGTGTGGGGTGAGGTATGGGGGGTGTGTGGGGCTGCTCTGCCCGCTGCTGCCTCCCCCGCGGGGTTCTCAGCGCGGAGCTGAGGTAAAATTGGTGCAGAGGGGGGCCCTGAGGGCCGGTGCGGGGTGGGAGGTGTGTGAGGAGCGTGTGGTGGTGGAGGAAGGGGGATCTGCCCCCCTCGGATCCAGGTTTGTCTTTGCACAGGTTGTTGTGCACACACAGCCTCGTCCAAACCCAACGCTGCACGCAAGGGGTGGTGCAGACGCCTAAATCACTCCCAGTAATCCCACGAGCACATTAGCAAAACAGGATCCCACTAAACCTGGTGCATTAGTATAATTTCTTCACATTTTGCACTTACACTTTTTCAGGTTCTCCTCTTTTATTATTATTTTTAAACCTTACCGTTTGACAATCTTGAAGCGATGAAGCCAGCGATCTTCAGAAAGACCCCTTTGCTTTCTGTTTCCTTTACAGCCCTGGACAGTTGTCCCCGATTTTACACACCATGCCCACACTGCCTCGTTGTCGGCGGTAGCCGTGAATAACAGATACGTGGTCACTGGGAGCAGGGATGAGACAATCCAGATCTATGACATGAAGAAGAAGGTAGAGCATGGGGCACTGCTGCAGCACAATGGTAAGGGGGCTTTTCTTCACGGTGAGCCTTAAGGATAGAAGTTCGTAGCTGAAACGTACAGCTGGTAATGAACAGCACCTCTGAAGAAAATTTAAATTGCCACACTTTTAATAAGACTTCAGGCTTTAATAGTGATGGTATTGTAGCCGTGATGGCCTGATGATACGAGCAAGATAAACTTTTGAGCGTAAAAGTCCACAAATTCTTTTGGGCATCAGCCCACAAATACAGCTGCTGCTTGCTATTATTTTTAGTTTTAACTCCTTCAGAAGTTATAGCCAACAAATGCCTCGTGAGTGATTTTTGTTCTACAAGGACAGTTTATCTAGAGCATGCCTGTTCCCAACAACCATCTTTCCCAGTGTCCTTGTCCTGTCACAGACACACATCAGCCACCCAAAGGAAACAGTTTGTGTGTAAGAGCAGGCTGCTGTTGCCAGAAGAGCTAACCTTGGACATTGCCTACTTTGTGAGCCTGCTAAATTACTGCTGTAAAAACAGCAGTTAATGCTAGTCCAACTCAACTTGTTTGGGTCATATGGGGCTCAATCCTGATTGTCCTTTTTATCCTGATAACCAGGAAGCACGTGGAACTAGACTGAACATGGTACCTGTAAGTTCAGCTGTGTTTCACAAGCAGGGATTTGATGTAAAAACATTGCATATCAGGGATAGAGGCCATGCATCACCTGCACCACAGTGGTTGAGAACTGCTATTTCAGAGAACTGACCAGATAGAGCTCAGACATACACGGCTACAGGGGTACTAACAGAGTACATCAGTGACTGAACAAAACAAGAAAGTTGGTTTGGTTTTGTGAAGAAATACTAGGGAAAAAAAAATAGCTTTTTGCAAGAATAATTTAGCTTTTTGCAAGAGTAGGGTACTAGCTGGCATGTTTTGGTGCTAGAAACATCTGTTAACTAATACGTTCTCTCTGTGTGGTAACTGTTCAGTACGTACAACTCTGTTGATAGCTCTGGTGTGGATTTGTAGGCACAATAACATGTCTGGAGTTCTATGGTACTTCACATCTACTGAGCGGAGCTGAAGATGGACTAATTTGTATCTGGAACACAAAGAGATGGGAGTGCCTGAAATCCATTAAGGCACATAAGTGAGTTTCTTAAATCTGCATGTTCACATGAGTTTTCCTGTTTATTTTCCTTGTGAATAATACATATGGCTAATACATTGTTTTGTTTTTATTAGAGGGCATGTGACATCTATTTCTATTCATCCTTCTGGGAAACTAGCTTTGTCAGTAGGAACAGATAAAACATTAAGGTGAGTTGAAACTGATGAAGAAATGCTGAGAATTGTAGTTCAGTAACTCTGTAAGTTCTGTTAAAAACAACAATTCCATGTTGTGACTAGACTGTGTGGCACTGATAAAGCATATTTTAACCTAAGATCATTGGTTTGTCTTTCTAAGTTTTAAGTACCAGCAATATTGTAAAATCTTTTTAAAAAGGTCTCTGCTGATCCTAGCTTCTTGCTGTGCTCTTACTCCTTATAGTCACCTGTAGATGTATGAATGCATTTGCATTTTGGAACACAAATTATTTAAACTTCTGAAAGCTGTCGGGTTTTGTTAAGTGTGAGAAAAGTAGTTTTTAACTTGCAGTGTGTACATGTTGCTGTATGTGTGTGATTTAAGCATATAAGATGCTACATTACCAGGACAAATTGGTATTTAGGTTCTTTTTGGGCCCAGCATTGCAAGCAGTGGTTTATAAAATAAATAGCACAAATTCAACCATACAGTGTACAAGCAGTATATCAAGTCATCAATTTCTCCTGCATTAAGGAAGGCAGTGAAGTGCACAGAGATGCTTAAAAGCTTCCTTCAGATGCATCATGTCAGCAGATAGGACTTGAGTTTCACTATGCTGTTTTTAACTGGAATGTGCATTATCTATTGTTTTTCAGAACTTGGAATCTTGTAGAAGGACGACCAGCCTTTATCAAAAACCTGAAGCAAAGTAAGTTTATCAGTCTAAACCCTCCCCAAAAAACATATTTTTTTTGTGTAAAGAAAACCAGTTTTTGTTAATCAACAAGTCAGTTAATTGCACACTACTTTACAATGTCTTTTTCACACATGCAGTCAAGCCCGTGTCCTTAGTAATAGTTATTTGTAGTTATTTACCAGAAGGAAAACATTGTGACACTACAGTAAACATCCTTTTTTTTTCCCCCTGAAGTTTAATGTCAGGACATTTAAAAAAAGGCATTCTTTTTTTTTTTTTTTTTCCTGCTAATCAAAAATGAATATTTAAGAGCATAGTTTTATTTGTTTATTCTGTGTTATGTGATTTTTTCTGTGTTTTCTCAGGTTTACCTAGAAAGCACTGTCTAGTGGCTTATAAAGATTTTAACTGTTAGATTCTCATGCAATATAGAATGCAAAAAAGGGTGTACATGTGTATAAAAATGTTCCTCTGTGTGCAGATGCCCACATAATTAAATGGTCCCCTGATGGAGAGAGGTATGTGACTGTGATATCAAATAAAGTGGACATCTACAGACTGGACACAGCTTCAATCACTGGCACTATCACAACAGAGAAGAGAATTTCTTCTCTTAGATTTATTACAGTAAGTACAAAAGGGAAAGGTGCTGAGAGTTAACGGCACTGAAACACGTGCATTTAATCACACTTGCATTTCATTTTTCCCTTTCCAAGGATTCTATTCTTGCCATAGCCGGAGATGATGAAACTGTAAGGTTCTACAGCTGTGACTCCCAAAAATGTTTGTGTGAATTTAAAGCTCATGAAAACAGGTATTTTATATTTATATTATAAATATTTATACTTGTACTATAAATATTTGTATTTATTTTATATTTATATTTTATATTTATTCCCTACTTAAATATTTATGGCAGAACTGAGTACTCAGTATACTACTTTCCATGACTTGCAGTGTTCAGCATATTTTACTATTGCTTTTGTTTCCTTATCAAAAGTAAATTTACTTATGTGCTAAATTCCAAATTCAGGACAGATTTGTTTGCTTTTGGTATAAGCACAAATGCTGGGTTTTCCACACACATTACAAAAACCACTGAGTGTAGAATTAGGAATATTACAGTTCTAAACTTGCAATCTAAGTGCCGTATGCGTATGAAATATTTAGATCTTAAATATAAGATCAGTGTAGATCATACCTAAATGTGTGTCTTAAATAGAAAATCCAAATGTACTGGTATGGCTCTATATTTTTTTAAGGAGGAAAATTTTTTCCCCGTTTCTCTCCCCAAAGCTCTCTTTTGTCTGAACTGATATACCTCTACAACTTATAGTACCAAAATCTTCATGGGACCATGGGCTTCTGTAGTGCTTTATAGGCAGGAGATGAAAATGGCTCTACAGGGTTTCCACTGCAAAACTGGACTATACTAGACAGGCAAATCTGGTAATAAGACATCTGGTGATGTCCTCCTGTCTTACCTTGGTCAGTCCTTGTCACTGTTGTCCCCTTGGCAGTTCTGGGTCTGAATTAGCCAGCAGGCTCATCCCTGTGGCAATATCTGAAACTGAGCCCCCACGTCTGGCTGATGTGGAGCTGCTCAGAGGCCACTGGTGTCTCTAAAGCCATGGGCTGGTTGTCCTGGCATAACAAAGCGGTGCAATGGAAAGCTGGTAGGTAGTCCACCAAAACAAAAGGTTCTGCTAAATTATTTGGGTTTATATCAAATGCCTGTTACATAAACATATTACATATATATATATCTATATGGATCATGTCTTTTTGTATATGTATATATATGTATAATTTTTCTCTGTGTGAAATCCAGACAATAGAAGGGTAATCACATATTCTCTGTTGTTGTCAGGTACCAAACATTCGTCCAAGTGCTGATTTGAGCTCATCAAAATACAAAAGCATGAGCTGTAATATCACTGATGTGGTTAATAGTGTGTGCTTAAGAATACTAAGGTGTTCTGAATTGAATCGTACCTGCCTAATAAAGGCATGTATTCCTACTGTAAGTGACAGCACTCAAAACAGATTACCTTTTGAAGCTCCTGTGTGTCATTTGTGTTTTTTTTTTTTTTCTGTTCAAATTGATTTTACACTGTTGCCTGTTCATCTTCAGCTGCTGTCAATTTACTGGTCTGAAGTGAACTGTCATGTTATAAAGTAACCGAGTATTAAATTTTCTTCACAGAATAAAAGATATCTATAGCTTTGAAAGGGAAGGACAACATCTTATTGTTACTGCATCCAGTGATGGTTACATTAAAGTCTGGAATCTGGATCTTAATAAGGTTGGTCTATTAAACTGCTTGGTGCATTTATGGAAAAACACCAGACAATCAAAATTGCAGACTGTTCTGTTATAATGATCAATTTTAAATCACTGGTGGAATTTTATTTGTTAATCTGGATGTTTTAATCTTTTTTTCTTACATGTTCAGTACAGATATATATGTCTACACTTTTTCATGCACTGGTATATTTTTGTATATTTGTATGTTCACCCTTTTAACAAGCTGTAAAATTAGATGATAATGTGAAGCTCTTCTCTTTACATGAAATCATGCTTTTCTTCAGAGGTAGCTGGCCAAACTATCTAAATGGTAACATATGCTCTAAAGACTGCTGTGAATTTTTGTAGTGCTGGTGACTGTTGCTAATCTTTTCAAAAAAATACGATCTGTGGTTTGAGGGTGGTGATAGTTCATGTAAGGCAAAAAGTTGTCCTGCTGAAAAATTCAAATGCATTAATATACTAGGTACTTTTACTTGCTGCATGTGCAAACATTTCTGAGCACCACCAGGTATTGTGCCTTATCTTCAGTTTCCCATGTTTATTGTTTTGCTATGTCTTTCAAAGTCAGAATTAGATTTTTAAAAATGTAATGCCTAATAATAAGGGATCTAATATATTCCAGTATGAGTATCTTAAACAGTTCAAATATATAACTCTATATTTCAAGTCTGAATTTGCCTGTTTTAACTTCAGCCCTCTTGATGATTTTTATACTTTTAAGTTCAATAGTGAAAATCCCTCTTTTCCCTTCATCTGAAACCTCAGTTCCGCTTGTACATGATTGAAATAGTGATCAAGGAACTCTTTAACTTTCTCTGTAACATTGTCTTTACTTTGACCAAATGTATAATTTTTTTCTTTTTACTGTGTAGGCAAAATTTTGTAAAACCTTGTGTAACTCTGTGGGCTGCTCTGCCCAGCTCTATGAGGTAGAATATCCTACTACAAATAGTTTCTAATAGTTTGATGCTGCTATACTGCATTTGTGTTTGTTTTATCCCTGATACCTGTAATAGGATATTTGCTCAGCCATTCCCAGAGCTGACTGATATGGGTACAGTTAAGCTGTTTGAAACACACCACACTACAAAGGGATTATGTTTAATCAGCAGCCATGTTATTGTGAGGTAGAAAAGGAACCTGATCCAATAACTTAATTCAGATTATTTTAACTGTACTAAAACCACCTGTTACTGTGGAGAAACTCTGAAACCATTATTATATATATATATATATATACATATATATTTTTAGTGGGCCTGTGACTCATCTACTTATTTATCATGTTTAACCACCTCTACATGCCAGAAGCCGAGTGACCTTGCTTATCAAGATAACGCTCTTAAAGCTGCTGGGAGTTTTTTATAAAACCAGCACTGAGCAATGGTACCAGGAACAGGACTGCAACACTGTGACCATTAACCTGTAGACAGCCTCTGGTTCTAAATGTTGTTAAGCATCTTAACAATGTCCAGAAAAGAAGTTGGGCAGTAAAATACTTCCTCAGTTTAAATACCTCAATAAATTTAAACAGAAATGAAGTAATGTTTAATTAACCTTTTTCACATATTATATTTAGATTAAAGATGCACCATCTTTACTGTGTGAAGTCAACACCAAAGCTAGGCTGACATGTCTTGCAGTATGGCTTGACCAAGGTTCAGAATTGAAGGAAAATTGTGATAAGACAGCAACATCATCTCAAGGTAATAGAATTGTCTGTGTTTGCAGCTGTTAATACGACTGTGAAATAAAGGATAGTAAGCAGGAGGTTTTTACTATATACCTTGGAAAACGTTTTGGCAGCTTGAAGAATTGGGGATATGACATTGCCAAGTCGTACATAGATATTCATTCCCATCTGATAGTGTCTCAAGCCTGCACGTAATGCTACAACTATGGAAACTAGTGTAAGAAGACAGACACAGGGATTGAGTGATGATATGAGACTGAGGGCAACAGTTCTTCTGTATGTTGAAACTTATTACACGATATATTGTGACATGATATATAGAGGACATAAGCCTCTTTTCACTTCTATTATATAAAAGTTTTGTTTCTCCTTGTTGCAATAACATACAGAGGAAGACACTGAAGCTTTTGAGACATATAAGAAAAGAATAATGTTTGATAGAAATGTGTGTCTGCTGTTCCTATGAACAAAACTGCCAAGGCAGTTGGCCAACTTAGGAAGTCTGGCTTAGGGGCTTTCCTTTGTTTGGCTAGTTGGTGGTTCTTTGTTTGTTTGCTGTTGTTGTTTTCCTGTATAGTAATTTATTTACAGACTTGATCTTTAGATATTTTAATATCACAATCCAAAGTAGCATAAATTGCATGCTCCACTGTAAATAAAATATTATTTATAGTCCCCTGTTTTTATTGGGAGATGCAAAAAGTCTCTGTGCCGTTTTAGACTACAAAGTGGAAACAAAGTGTATAATTTCTTGCTTTTTTTTTTTTTTTTTCAGCAAATGAAGATGAGAAATCATCAATAGTCAGGAAAAAGAAAGTTTGTCGGACAGATAGAAGTGATAAAACGGTGAAAACGGATAGAAAAATTACTCCGAAGAAGCGAAAATTGGAAACCCCACTGCAAAAGAAAAAAAAGAAACACAGTAGCTCAGAATGAAGGCAACTACTTTATCTCCTGAATAAGAAGTAAACGCTGGTGTTGCTGTAGTTTTTACAAGGATGTAAACCTCTGGCAGGACAAATACCTCTGAACTGAGATGATTATTAAAAGTAATCAGTTTTTTTTACCCAGATAAACTGGTCATTCATGAAGGTAGTAAAAGAGATGGCAACTTTTCCTAAAAGAATGATGCAAAAATAAATTCACGGTATAAAATATTTATATTTTTATGTTTACAACGGCATACACTATTTAACTGACTTTGAAATAGCCGGCTAAAATGATAAAAATAGCCAAACCTGTCTCACGTACATTTATGTCTCAGCTAAATTCATATTAAAGATACCTATGGTTTTTCATTTTTGTGTCAGAAATTTACTGAAATTCAGTCAGAATAGGATCTGCCTTTGTCATGCATTCTCTTACTGTAAAAAGAAACATTAAAATTGATTTAAATACTTTTTAATTGCTTTAAATAAATTAAAATAAATAATTTTAATAATTTAAAATTACTTTAAACTTTCCATTCAAGTATTCACAAAAAAATATTTTTAGTTCTCAACATGGAGTCTTACATATGGTTTACAAGCAGAATGTTTGTTTGTTTTTTTACTGTATACTCCATGCATTTAATTATTTTTGAAGTCCTTGTACCCTGACATACAGTCTAGGTCCCTTTTTTTTCCAGGAGTTGATTTTTCCCATCTCAAATGAGTTCATAAAAAATTTGCACCATGTACTTCCAAGAACTGCCAAAATACTGATGTTAATGAAGTATGGTGAATGGATTAGCTTTATGGGCTCACATCAGTGAAATCTTTTGGTCAGAATACATTGCATGTGTTTATGTCAGTAGGGTTTCACCTTCTGTTCTCTGTTCCCATACTTTTTCAAGTCCTTGATCTGAGCCATGTTGTAAAAAAAAAAACATTTGATTAACACTTGAAATGTTTGTCCCTCTGATAAAATGTCAGCCATCTGTTTTGTACTTAAGAAGTGAATTCCTGACCTTCTCAGTCAGTGGGAACAGGATTTTGTCTGAAGTCTTCTTACAAATACACAGTGGCAAAAACAAAGTTGAGCAGGACAAGGTCAGATAGCTGTACGAAAAAATCTCTTTATTTCTTTTAAATTAAAGTATTTTAATGTTGTTTTCTGTATTGCTGGAGTAGTTATGATTTCTTCTGTTTTCAAAAGGTAGTTGGAATTAGACTTTATCCAGATTCACTTTAATAATAGTATGCTCTTCATTATTCATGTAGCTAGAGAAAAGGCAAGAGAAAATCAGGAAGAATGAGAGAGATCTTCAGACAGGAATGCAGCCTGTGGGTTGTAAAGTAATTTATGAACTCCAGCCTAACTCTGTGTAAGCTCTGACACTTGAAACAAAGTGGGCATCATCTGGGCTGTCACAAAATTATTCATGTGACAATAGCAATATTTCCTTGAAGGTAGATGTCTGTATTTAGCTTTTGTAACTGTTCCCCTTAGTTAGATCAGAACCCCATATTCAGTATACTTAATTTATATGAGCTCAGTTTAATTCACCAATAAAGAGGTTTCAGTTGTACTTCAGTTTGAACTTACACAGCTTTTTAACTTTTATAATACCCCAAATGTGTGTGTGCACAAACACTGGCAAATAATGTAGGACTTCAAAATGGTTTGTATTCATGTCAGGAAAGGTACCTAATCAGGTTTTTAACTGTTAACTAGACTCCTGTAAGTAAGTATAGACTTTTACTTTTCTCTCAGTTACGTTTAAACTTTGTTAACTGTTTCCAGATTCCTGTTTTAAGGTGTTTATCGTATGTGTGTACTCAACAAAATGGCTGCCACTGTTAAAACAATTTTCATTTTTTGAATTTTTAAATACACGAGCTCATGGCCATGACCGTCACAATTATAGAAGCAAGCTGTCACAAGCCCCAAGAAAAACCCACTCTGCTCATCATTTTAAGAATGAAAAAGCAAAAATTCCACAGGTTTTTGTTTCTAAGGTTCAGACTTACAAATAAACGTGAGCCATTTGTAAAAATCCAAACTCCCTTTGCACGAACAATCGTGCATCTCATGAGGCTCAGAACAGTTTGTGGGCAGAGAAAACAAATGTTAACAGCTTCTTAGGTGAAATGCAGAAGCGGGCCTGGAAGCAGAACTCGTATTTCATACATGGTGAGTAAATGCTGAGCTACTAAACAGTGCGTTGCCTTTTTCTTTTTTTTTTTTTTTTTTTCTGATGCACATCAGAATGTTTTCTATTCTATATATAACAAGAGAGCAGTGAGGAAGCTCTTCCCGTGTCAGAAACTGATCGTGGATGGCCCTGGTAAAGCAGACGGAGCCATGACTGTACGGCAGGGCCGCCTGGCACACAGCCTCTCAGCTGAGCCTCAGGTGAGTTCAGCAGCTCTGGGTTTCTTCCAGTTTCTCTGCAGCCCCCTCTTGGGGATCCCCAGTGCTGGGATATGGATCACAGGCCAGTGAAACGAGAACCTCACAGCCTTTATGCTGCCCCAACAGCAAAGCCAACCCCTTCCAGGAGAGGGGCTAACAGATAAAGTTGGTTAAGGCACTGTTATGGGAAATAGAATTACATTTCAACCACTTAGGCCACAGAGGGAGTTAAAGTGATACTTTGTGATCATGTGGCTAATTCACAAAGATCTGAAAAAAGGTGTTGTAGAGAAAAAACGTGTTGTTTGCAGGCAGCACAGCCCCGTGATGTTTGCTGCTCTGTTACAGGGTGGTGCAGAAGCCCCTCGGCTGAGCTCAGGGACTCCTATAAGGCTAAGTGTATGCATATAGCCGGCTAGAATAAGTCCTGCAGCACCACTGAAGTAAAGAAAGACAGATTCAACGATTTAAAAAAAAATAAAAAAAAATGCTAGACAAGACGTTTTCCATCTTGTAAGGTGCAGAAATCCCCCACGTTTCCCATAACAGGGCTGCACAGCAACTACCAACGAAAGCTAAACGCAGCCAGTCGACTGCCCCGAGATTTTTTTGGTTGATGATGCTGTGGCTTTCCTCCCAAAACAGGCGGAAAAGGGAAGTTTTGGGCGGCGCGTTGCCCTCTCACCTCCCCTTCCGCAGCCTGCTCCGCCCCGGGCTGTGTGAGCGGGGCGCCCCGGGCAGGTGGGCACAGCCCGGGGACCCTCCCCAGCGAGCCGGGGGGCATCGCTTGGGCTGGGGGTGGAGGGTTTGGGCAGGTTTTCCTCCTGGAGGACCTCCCTGCGGCAAAATATTCCCCTCTCCCCACATTTTTCCCCTCCGATGTTAAGAGCCAGCTCCCCTCAGCACAATTTCTTTTCCAGTTTCCAGCATGGCTGTGGACTGGCTCGGCTTTGGCTACGCTGCCCTGGTGGCATCAGGAGGGCTCATCGGCTACGCGAAAGCAGGTATGGTGCTGGGGTCCCCTTCTAACACCCCCCCCCCCCCCAAATTTGCCTGAGCTGGGTGGCTTCCTACGAAAGCCCCCTGCCTCGAGGTCCTGCGCAGATGTGAAGCTTGTGCTGTGTGCTGATAGCCTGGGGCTGGCGGGGTGCGGTGGGTGCTTTGGGCTGATAAGCTCACAGGCTGCTTTGGGTGGGTGCTGATACCCCGCCTCATGCCTTGTGTGCTTCAGATAAACTGCCAGGAGTTTGCTCCAGAAACCCTTTCCCCCTGCTGTTTTAAACACTCTATAAATGCTCTTTACCTTTAAATGACAGCATCATTTTTTCGCTTAAATATTTATTCTCGTTTTAATGTGTGGTGGTAACAGTATGCTGCAAGCTGCACGGTTTTCAGAAGGATCCTTTTTCCAGGGAGAGCTGAGCAGTGCAAATCAGTCCCTGAAGTTGTTCCTTCCCTGGGCTCCCCAGCGTAAGCTTCATCTCCGGCCTGCTTTCACTGCCCAGTTTGCCCTTCTCCAGGCAGAACCGCGCATTTCTCCCTGCTGCAGTGCTGTCTCTTTCCACTCTGAAAACCTTTCAGCTCTCTTAAATCTCTTCCTTCTCTCTTCCTTCCTTGCTGAAGACAATGAGACCCTTACCACTAGGTGTGACCACATGGATGCTAACGCCTGCTCCAGTCTGCTCCCTACGGCCTTGGGGCTCTGAGCGTAGCTTAGGGCAGGAGGGACACTACTGAGAACTTAAATAGCTGATTTCATCTGTATTTCTCTGAGGTCATTATGAAATGATCAATATCTTACCTTCTCTTCCCAGATGGAAGGATGTGGTCATGCTGATGCAAGAAGGGAATTCAGGTCAAGGGGTTTTTGAAGGGGGAATGGGAGCTTGTATGGTGACATGCAGGGAAATTAAAAAAATAAAAATAAAAAATCACCACTTTGTCATCCCTACTAATAAATTGGAGAAACCAAAAGAAAATTGAACTTTCATCCATAAACCTGAGGTGTTCTGTTCTTGTACAGCCAAGTCTACATTATGTACCTTGGAAAGAATATGAGAACAGGGCCAGGGCAAGGTCTCTTTTATTATTTTATTTTCCCCTCTCTCCCATTAGTGAATTGTTGTTTTGAGACCCAGGAACGTCCCGAGCCAGGGGTGGTATGTTTGCCCTAGTAAGCGTATGTGCCATAGGTGCTTAAACAGGGCCTCAAGGTAAAACTCAAGGATCTGATGGCCGTTTTGAGGGCTCCCAGGATGCAGAAGGAATTGCATTTACCACAAGGTGGTGCTAAACTGTTCTGTCCAGAGCAGCTGCTTACTAGAGTGTCTGTCTTTGCATGTGTACAAGAATGCGATGCTTCCCATTATCTTCAGCTCTTGCTGTTTGTTTTAAAAGCAGGATGTGAAGCAATGTTATAGCTGCTCTGCTGATGACTGAAAAGTGATTACTTTCTGGCAGCAGCATGTGTTCCTCCTGTAACAATGCCAGGAGATCTTTATCAGCGTAGATCTGCAACCTCGAGTCCTTTTAATGGTGACCTATAAAAACTGAATATATAAAGGACCACCTCAAGTAGCATTAAGTCCTGAATTTTCCATTAGCCTTATTGAAAGTATTCACTGCTTGCAGAGGTTGTGCCATTTCCTTACCTGATGTCATCTATAAATTGCCAGTCTCATGGTAGCTCAGCATTATGAAGGCTTGTTCCAAAGTCTGGCTATTTGACTCCTCTGTCTTATTTGACAACTCTTTATTTGTCTGAATACCCTCCTGCCCAGTTCAGTTCACATGTCCTTTTTCTGATCTTAAACCCTTCCTATTTAATCCCTTTTTACATTACTGCTTTTCAAGCAGTTCCAGAATCATTACTTGAAGCAACGTGCTTTGGTCTGCAAAAGAAGACCCCAATTCTTTTGCTTTTCTCACTAGTCTTTCTATCATAAATGTATTTGTGGCTTTGCTGGTAATGAGTTAAATACCAATGCTAATTTTATCTTATGCAAGATCGTTTGAATGTGGTTCTTGATTCAGATCAGTGTGGTCTTAAAATCTTTGAAGACAACCCAG